TCTCTGAACTAAATTATAATTTGAATTAAAAAAATTCACGGATTTCGTGTTTGAAGTTTATTGTGTACTTTTAAATTAAATTGATAAGATTTGAAATATCACTAGTTTGATTCAATCGCTAATGACATGAATTTCAATTGAGATGAAGAGTTTTAATTTTCCAAATCTAAGTTTAATTTTGCCTAAATCTCAATTTTGCCTGACACAAATACATTGAAATTGTTCTGTAAGATTTTCGAAAAACATGGAATTTCGATTCCAGATTAAAATCTGCGTAGGAAAATATTATTTGAGAACATTTAAAGTTGATAGAAGGTGGATTTAGGTCAGTGTTACAACTAAACGGGCAGTTTTCCCTGCTTCTCTTGCTTTTCTCGGATCAAGAGGAAAAGAAAAATGATGACATACAAGCCCGCGTACGGTGTTACAAATTTGATCTATATTCCAGCCCAACTCTAAAGATTTTGTGTGTACATTGTGTGACTAGAGGGAATGTTACTCACATCCAACGCTCCAACTGACAAATTCTTGAAGTTAATGCCAAAAGTTGCGTTAAAGTATTATTTAACGAAACTTCAAGAACCATACTTCCTGAAGTTTTGTTGAAATTTTAAAATTCATGATAATGGAATAGATTTTTATCGTTTTTTCCAATGTGATTGTCTGTTTAAAGACAAGTAACTCGTTATAGATTGTTTATCAATGCATTTGTGTTACGCATGAATATCTTCTTAGATGTTTGTCGAGGTTGGTTGGATTTTTAACGAATCTTATCGGCTTATTCATCGTTAACTGCTACAAATTTCTCACTTACGCTATACACCGTTTGGATATGGACGTATAACCCATTTGTAGTTCTGTGTTACTCACTAATAAAATTAATTTTTCATTTAGTTCGCAGATTTGAATTGACTTTTATAAAAATAATGATTTAGCGTCTTTCTTTCGAATATGTATTAGCTGAGGAAAAAAATAGCTATTTAAGTAAACGAAATAGTGAGACAGAAACTTCGAAGCAATAATTGTATAAATGTGAACTAAAGTGAATAAAGTATTTTACTTGAAAGCATACTATTTTTAAAGCAGTTTGTCTTGGAATTTTCGGTCTGCTTTACTAATGAGTCAAGTTAAGTAGATATTTGGATGTGTGTGTAAGAGATATTTTGCTAAACATCATTCACATCTGTACCAACACACACACCCCACACCCTGTACAGGACATCTTCATTTTTTTATCATTTTCGGTCCTACTCATTATTTTATCTTACCAAGCTTGCCTTCTTCCACTTCATGCGGTCATTTTCTTATTTGTAATTTGCGAACGTGATGAAAACAGTTTCAAACTAGTGTTATACGAAAAATTGTGACGGAAAGTTCCGATTGGAAACAGACATTTATTGTTCGACAAAGTCACCTGTGGGCCTATTGAGCATGTGCTCCTCTAATCTGTATTTGAAACTCGTACTTAACAAAAGGCATCGACTCCAAACTTAAGTCCAGCTCCGAGTTGAAGCTGCCCATCTCTGATCTCAGTTAAGCAGAAAACGGTGGACGAACTCATTCTCACTAGTGAGTACCAAAGATGAGCACAGGACAAGACAAGATTTTGATTTTTGCTCTGTCTTGCCGTCCGCCAGGACAGAAAAGGACAGGTAAAAATCCTTGTCCTATGCTCATCTCTAATATTTTTTAATCTTGAAAATAATATAATAAGCATTAGTTAAAAAATATTAATTGATGATATTTGCTTTGTACAATGAAAGTAAAAGTAAAACTCTCACTCTTGGCATTTTACAACCTGTGAAAACGGATTTAATTGGCAGAAATCGTGGCGTCTTGTTCCTGCCGCCCGCCAGGACTGAGATAGCTAGCAGAACAGGAGAAAAAATCTTGTTCTGTGCTCATCTCTGGCGAGTACTCATCTTAGTTTTATCGCTGTTATTTGTTTTGGTTGCAGGATCATGTGTCTTTTCTTCCAACTTTCTTCTTCTTTCTCTCTTTCCTTCATTGAAATATATCTATTACTTTCTTTTTGACGCTACATCATATGTAATCATCATAAAAGATATCGGTCGGTAAACAGAGATAATAAACATTTGGTAAATACTTTTTGACTGTCTTTCGACAATAAATGCAATTATCGAAGAGGTTATGCAAATAACAAAATCTCTTCAGTTAAACGAAAAAAAATGATAAAAACACAAAAAGCATACATCTGAAAATAAAAAGCACATCATTGAAAAGATATTACTAAAGGTAAAAATGATAAGCGTATAGTATTAGCATCTGTCGCCCGGTGAGCTATAGTATACTAGTATCCGAATTACTAGAAAATTATCCAGGTAAAGACACTGATGATGAGTTTATCATAAAGGATAGGCTCCTAGCCACCATGACATTAACACTTTGTCCATGCTAAAGAACGCGTCAGGTTGCTTGAGATCAGAAGATCTCTTTAGATAGAACTCTAATAAGTTGCAAGCTGAAGACATATTGATGTAACTATAATAATACAACTAATGATAACCATAAGACTCCTTTCGTTTGTGGGTGTTGGTTGTACATGGGTGTATGTGAAAGGAATTACCATCCATACCCACATCCACCCACCCACATGTGCATCTCACATTCACACCCATATCCTTTTTTCCGTTATAAAAATATCTCGCGTGCGTTTTGATCATTTTAAAACGACAAAAGTTATTATTAACATATATTGTTTATAGTTGAATGATTTCCATTCATTGCCTGATTTATTTTTATCGAATTCTACTTCATTCTTATTGAAATTAAAACAACACTGACATCAAAATACGAAAATGGAAGAAATGCGAAGTTGTTTTTTTAATTTCTTCCTACCAAGTTATAGTGTTTGTTTTTGTAAGTAGTAGTCATGAGCTAAAGCAGTTCGATTACTTGAAAAATATTCGATATACAATCATGAATTGATTTTGACTTAGAGAAGGATATTTAAACATGAATTTCCTTGGTTGTTAAATAGCTGTAATGCAATGAGCGTACATGTCATAGTCGTTAGAAATTTTAAGTGACTCATAGTTTATTACCTCTCGATTTTCGTTTCTTTATATGCGTCGATAATTTTGTTTTGTTCTTTTCTTTCGTCGTAGATTACATATGATTACGCGTATACCTCAAAAGAAATTGAAAAAGAAAAGACATAGTTAGGTTTTTAGGAAGCAAATCCAAGACAGACAGAGTATTGTTAACGTAGATTATCAGAGATTTCAAATTAATTCATTGAAGAGAATGTAAGATAAATAAATAAATCGTCATGAACACAAGCGTTGTGAAATGTTGTCGCATTGAAAATATCTAGATTTTGAATTACGAGTTGAATATTTCATTAGATTCATTTAACATCGTTTTACTAGAACTACTAATACAATATGTGCAAAGCGCAAAATTGTCAAAACATTATCCTTATTTTGAAATATGAGAGTAGTATGAGAATATGATCAGGTCATCGACTAATTCGTCATAAAGAGTGTCATCAGCAGTTATAAAATATCTGTCATCATTGTTTTTTTTTCACGAAAACATGCGGCCGTCGCATTACTTTATTTTATTATTTTTTTTTTGCTTTCATTTCTAACAATATGTAATATTATTTTGCTGTCGTTAGGAAAAGATGTTGACTAAAATCAAATACATTTTCATGCATGCTGTTTGCTTCAGTGAAAACATAGTAATTGAATATTATGCTTAGTCATTTCTAACAACACTTTCATTTGAGTAGTGTATATACAAAAAAGAAACAACGAAATTTGTAAGTGTCACGTGCTTCTATACTGAATAAGAAAAAATCTTTCCAGCGAGTTTGTGAGTCTTACCGTTCTGTCGACGATTGCATTTAGCCACTTTACAGTTACTTATTTTTTTGGGGATTCGAATTCGGTGAGAGTGAATAGTATGTGCAAGTATTTTGCATAACATGAAGTTTTTTTGTTAGATAATTATGAAAATTTTTTCAGGATCTGACTTCAGAAAACACTTCAGAGCAGTATCTCGACTACCAGTGCTAACAAATGAATATTTTAGAGATAAATCTGTTTGTATTGGAAATGCAAATAGAAACGAACTTTGTGCAACTCAATGAGATTTCTATGAAAGTAGAAATCCGCCTATGAAAACTCAAGAAGAAATGGTAGTTACAGAGTTATACTGTATCGATGAGTTCCCAAAGGCAGCGAAGACAGCAATCGAATGCATAAGATGATAACCGAAAAAGTATACATACATCAGTGTATTAGAGTTATGCTAAGAAAATTGATAATGCTATGTGTTTATGTCGCCAAGAATGCTGGCAATTCTGCTGTATATAGATTAGCGCTAGATCTATATTTTGGATAATTGTTGGCTCATGCTGTCATACCCTGCAGAGCATTGAATATTTCAGAGAATGTATTCAGCTGAAAATTGGGGCATATTCGTCTACGTTATACTTCTAATTTTTTTAACTCTCATCGTTATTTACATCCAGTCAAGGAAAAAACAGTAAGCTGGCGGCAGAAATTAAGAATGCTCAGTATGGATGAGAAGTGAAGATGTACACAGCTTGAACATCATATATAGCATATTCTTAAACAGGAGTGTCGCAATAAGTTATAATGCTGACCATCAATTATTTATACAATAATCTTTTTAAGAGTAATATCAGACTATTCTAGACTTAGGATTATTGAACATAGGTTTTTTTTCTTATTTTATAATCTATAAAACATGTTTTTCTAGTCGCTTTCATCCTGATCTTTGCGATGGCATCATCAGAACATACTCAAAATAATCATGATTTAATTCAAGCTGCGCTAACAGCGCTTAGTGGCATGAAATTGGTTCCGAACAACAGATCTTCAGAGACGTCTAATTCGCTTTCTCTATTTAATCATCACACCACGACATATTCATCTGGTGGTGTTGGCGACACTTACTCAGGCCGCAATATGGAACAGACTAACATGATAGAAATATACGTTAAACAAATGACTGATGAAAACATCACTTGTCAAATAGAGCCAGATAAAACTATTGAGGACCTTAAAAAAATGATCCAAAAAAAGAAAGGTATATTGGCTGACCAACAACGAATCATTTTTGCTGGAAAACAATTAGAAGATAGAGCAACACTAACTCATTATGGAATACATAATGGAGCTACGCTACACCTAGTTCCTCGTAAGCGTGTTGAAGCTCCACCTACGCTAGATCTTTCAAGTCTCGATCCACAATATGATTATGATTTTTCAAATGTGCAAGATTGCGATCGGAAATTCCGACGAGGTGGAATCGATTATGTTCGTCCTTGCGGCTGGAAACGCTTTGCTATTAAAGTAACAGATAAATATGAAAATTTAATATGGCTAGGTCATCATAACAAAGAAGGAGAATGGCCTGTGTCTTACCATGGAACTGGTTTTAATCAAAATAAAACTATGGCGACAGATGGCTACAATTTAACAAAAGGTAAAAGATATGCCTTTGGACACGGCGTTTATTCAACTCCTGACGTAAGCGTAGCAGAAAAATATGCAGTCAAATTTTCACATGAAGGAAATCAATATTTGGTTGTACTGCAAAATCGAGTGAATCCTGAACAATTAGTAAAATTACCAGCTGCTGAAACTGGCATCGGTGATTACTGGATTAGCCCTAGCGACAAAGATATCCGTCCATATGGAATCCTTATTCGAAAAGTTTAAATACGGTGCAAATAATAAATAATAAACATGAATTTCAAGCATTAATAACATTTCTTTTTAATATTCTCCTGTGTTCATTTTTTTTTCTTACAAGATGAAATTAAATTATTAAATTTCCAACAGAGAGCTGTCAGCCGATGACTACTTTATGTGAGAACAAAAGACGTGAAGTATGTGGGGTGATTACCATTTCAGTCGTTAGAAATAGGACGAAATTTCTCATATTCTATTTTCTATTTATTGTATTCATTCCTTTGTTTATTGAATTTAAAGTTTCTTATTCTACTCCAGAGATGACTACTGTACATGGCATATTATCTTAATATTTAGTATTTCTACCTGCCTTTGAGTGACCTCTCAATAGTACTCATTTTTGGATCGTTCACAGGAATTTTAGACCGATTTTAAGTTTCAAAGGAGGAAACATATCCCAGTCAGGTATAAAAATGTTGTAATGGCATTAAAATGCCTTAAAATTGACATAATTTTAATGATACGAAATTGCCACAAAAAATGCCTCACATGGGAAACATTAAAATGGCTATTTTTTTGACTAAGTGAAAATGGTTTTAAAAATGATAAAAAAATGCGTATAACACAAACCATTTTTTTGGCATTATTTGTGACTGCTTCGCATCATTATAATTATGTTACCTTGAATGCATTTGAGTGCCATTCTATTAGATTGGGACATAAGTTCTGCACGTTTTTGTGTTTTAGGCAAATTTGAGGCTTTATCTCGTGATTGGAAAGAATTAGAGGTCTGAAATTTTTAATGTAGATAGATCTTTGTGGGTACTATCCACATTAAAAATTTCAGACCTCTAACTCTTTCCAATCACGAGATATAAAGCCTCAAATTTGCCTAAAAAACAAAAAAAAGGTGCAGAACTTATGTTCCAATCTAATATCATCACTAATCTTACTCGCACATTTTCTTTTATCTTGTTTTTATCATCTGATATTCTTTTTGCAGTCTAGTTCGGTATATATTCTCTGAATATCTTTGCTGCTGTCAGAAATATTTTATCTACATAATTATACTCGAATTGAGAGTGTACGTTTAGAAACCTTAGCTAAAAAGATTTGAATTTTTCCTAGAGCTAAAACTAGCCAATGTTATATAGTGTTACGTACTATTTTCATATATCCAATTTTGTTTGTAGAGGTATTTCACCCATCAGATAGAGTTATTTCTGTTGTTTTGCATGGCTCATAAACATCGGATGAAATTGAGTGCACAAAAGACTTCTCTTTCATTGTTTTCATGCCTATTAATTTTCTAATTCTATAATAACCTTATCAAAAGACTGTTTCAGTTGATAACCTGAATCTTTTTTTTTTGTAAGATAAGTCTCTCTCAACGAAATGAACTGCTTTAAAATATGCACATTGTTCTTTGATGAAAAAAAAGATATTTTAAATTGTGCAATCGGTTTCATCAAATGTTTATAAGTCGTTTTGAAGGATACAGATAACTATAATGGACGAGCCAGAATATTATTCTATGCGGCTTTAAATGAAGCATTTTGGTAAAAACATAAATGCAGTACGACCTACTCTGTCAAGAAGTGTTGAACATACAAAAATAGCTATTATTTCATGTCATTTATCAAGTTGTTGGCGTTTCGAATCTCTCAAACGCTTCTATATAACGAGAACTAATAGGCTTATCTTTTACTTTGGATGTAATCATTGATAGCTGGGTTAAAAACCTGCAAGGATCTTATTTGAGAATAGAAGTGTGAAGTGATTGTTATTTTCAAAATAACTATTTTTTATAACTTTACGAAATACGAATGTAATCTAATGTATTATGTGCCGATAGAAAGGGCACAAAATTCTGAGTCGTAACAGATAGTTACATAGAAGTCATTTGTCAAGATTTCGAGAAATACTAGAAAGAGTTATTTTTAAAATAACAATAACTTCACACTCTTATTTGAGAACTTAGAAGCCATAATACTCTGGAACATGAATATGCGACTATGTATTAGATAGATAAGACGAAAACTCTAGGAAATACTTTCAGTCATAAAGAATAGTGTACCCTAGTAAAAATAAACGACACAGCTAGTTTTTTCATTTTTAGTTGCAACGGCATTGTGTGCTAGGTCTTATATTTATATTATGAGTAATACATGAAGATCTTTAGTTTTTATTAAACAATCAGTAATTGACTGTAGTAGACTCTTGAAAGAAGAGAAATGTCTCATAAAATATTTAATCAGCGAATTTATGATTAGTCTATGTACAAAGCTGTATAATACTCAATTCATGTTTTCCTTTTCCCTTTCTGATACAAGAATTATCATACATATTTTATTCAATGAATAGAATATTAAACAGATTTTCCCGACTTTCAGTGAACAGTTATACTTTATGACCAAACATGTTGTATATTACTCGTCAACATAAAAATTACATATAAGACCTAATCTGCGATGTTATTCGGCGTAAATTGAAAAAACTAAGTATGTTCTTTACGCTGTTCAGAAAGATATGGAATGTGAATGACGATTGACTGTTCTGGTAAATTTCACACATGATTTATAATATTTATAAATTCTACTACATCTCGTGAAATGTCTTTAGTTGTCCAAATATAGCGACGACAAACATGTTACAACTAACTCGTCTATCTTTGAAATGAATCGAAGTTTGTTCTTTTCTTCCTTTTCTAATGATAGCTCTTTATTCGAAGACAAAGACTATTATTGACCAATAGGAATGAACTAATCAAATTTATTCAAGCATATTGAACAGAACATCCACAGATAAATATGTTAACGATTCGATACATGGAAACGATAATGCAGTCATTTCAGGATAAATATTTCTTCTGGGTTAAAAGATGTGTACTTATTAGCGAACTGTACGAATTAAAGCTGTGTGTTAATCTATCATAAAGATAACGTCATTGTGTGCACTAAATGTCTAACTAATAAATGGAAATATCGCTTTTTTAGAAGGCACTAATAAAACATAAATTCATATAGTGACAAGATCTGGAGACTGAGTTATATATGTATGATTACGTGTTTTCTTTGATCAACAATACAGGTATAGAAAAATCGTGCTTTTTGTTCACAAAGTGTTATTCGCAAAGATAAACCTTGTATAATACTTATAGTGTTAAATTAATGTACCCTGGATTGAACATATTGTTTCGCCACGAAAAATATTAGATAAAAGCTAACTGTGTCCACTCTGATTTTTTCAACTACTTTATCTTAACAAATAAATATAACAATATGAATAATCGTGACCACAACTTCATTTAAAAATAGGAAGAAATAACTTTTAGCTTAGCCCGTTGCAATGTATTTTCGATTGAAGCATTGTACCTTTATTTTTAAATTTTGATGATCAATGAAAACTCCAATTTTAGTTAGTACTTTCAAAATATCATCAAAATCAGATTTTACTTATAATACAGAGATAACCTGGCTTCTTAAGATCTGCCTTGTAGTTTCGATAATGTCAATGTACTTCATCACTTTAGAAACACTTTTATTTCCCATGAGTAACAAAATGCAGCATTAGGTCTTTTGTCTATAGTGTGCTACTCATCTGATAGATGAAAATGAAATTTAACTTCTTTAAAAAAAAATATTTTCCATCAAAGAAATTGATCTCCCAGGGAAACTATTAAATTGGGTAGTTTTATGGGGAGTATGATCTTTTCTGATTCAAGAGTTATCGATTTACTACTGAAAATTATGCAAAAAATAACAGTTTTCCAACTATTGTTTGTTATGTTTATACTAGGACCAAATATTTTCAATCAACTTTTATGCAGAATTTCGAAAAATATTTTTGACTTTTGTGTAAAATATGTATGTTTTGTAAGTAATTATTAGTGATTCATTTGAGTTTCAGAAACCATAAGTATTGTTTAAGTCAGTTTGAAACTCCAAAAAAATAAAATCCGTGTTTATAAAATGGACAAAGTGGATCATTTTGGAATCACAACGCATTTTAATAGCTATTATACCATTATTAACTAAAAACGATGCATTTTAATGGTCGAAATGGTCTAGCTACGGATAATAATGCATTTTAATGACCATGTTCCCATTATTCACTTGGTAGGGATGTTGTCTTCATCTTGTATGTCGCAAGCGTCCGCAAAAATTACATAAAAATCACAAAAAAAATGTATGGATGTCACGAATAAAATTTCAGCATAATCCAAGAAAAAAGAAAGAGTTGTAATGGATCTTGATGAATCCAAGCGGATGCTAATATACACCAAAATCCGCTTTTTTCTGCTTGGGAGTGACTTTGATTGTAGGATGTGTTACAATCTTCTCCTTTATTTTCGACTTCTTCTTATTATCACATTCTCACCAAGAAAATAATCTCCCCTTTTCTTCAAACACTAACACTAGTTTAAATAGAACAGATACGAGAAGAGGAATGGAATGTTGGTAAACGTGACAGATTGAAACCGAAAGAGAAGAGAGAACATACTTATGGCAGGACAGATATCTCCTGCCATAACAGGATGTGCGATTTGGGTGAGGCTATTGCTCTTCGCTACAGGCATACATCTATACCCGAACCTCGCATGCACGCCCACACCGACACCCGCACTCACACTCATGTCGCGGATGCCTTAAGCCCACATCCATCCATTCGATGTTTTAAAGACTGTGCAGTTAGTATTGTCTTATGAGGGAACGTTTTCAACTGTCCAATCGCTTTTGAGTTCGGACTTGCTACATTAGGTAGATTCCAGTGAAATATGGAAAATTCTAAAAGGATAAATGCCCTTAACCCTTCTGTACAGAGTTATAGGCATTTTCGTGCAATTTTAGCCTAGGGCAAGATGCATTTGCCAACAAATTGAATGATGCTATTTCGAATTGAGATCTTGCCCACAGACAGGTCTATTGGCAAGTAGAAGATCTTAAAAATTTCAGCTCAAAAGAATGCTTCCTTCATGAGATATTCAACTCCCAAAAAACAGAAAATTTTAGCATAATTTGTAGAAT